TGATTTTTACCATAGTATATTATTCCTGCGTTTTTATCTTGACTGCTTGTTTGTAGCTTGGCATACGCCCTTAAGGCTATTGTTCTTTTTTCTGTTATAGCGTTGTTTCACGTCATATGTTGCTTTGTCTTACGTCCGTTATATTTGTATATATTGTTTTTTTTTTTTTATGCTGTACACGAAAACGTTTGTGCATCTTCTGTATTAAAATTAGGCAAATATATACCTTGTTCCTGAGTTTTATTTGATATATATCTACACTTTGCCAAGCAGCTACTTCTGATTTTCCTGTTATATTACATTTTACTGCTGCAACCTCTGGATTTTCTTTTGCTTAATGTATTTTTTGTGCTGTCTGTCTTTCTGATGCCTGATCCTAAACGTGTGTTACTTTATATTCGATGTGAAATTAATTGTTTTTTGAAACGCTACCCAGCCACTTTGGAGTATCTGGCCTTTTCGTTTGCAATGGCTACCTTCAGTAAGACTAGTTTTTGCAGTCATGTTAATTTTATGTCTACATGCATTCATTCGAACCTGATCCCGTTTGGATTCCGCTGCAATTGGAAGCCGTCACTTGGTAACGTGAATCCTAAAGTAGTATCTAAGAACATTGAGATTTGCTCTAAGCGCCTTAGTCTTTATTCATTTAGAAGAGATTGCAGAATACACAATGATAGGATGATTTATTACCGTAACGTTTTGCAGTTATCTTGCGATTCATTTGTATTCGCCAGCAGATTCACCGCCTCAACAGACAATATTACCAATGCCTTACAGAGACCAAACGATCTAAGCTCAACAGACTTAAGTCCGAATCTGCTCGTGCTAAACCTGTATTTACTGACACTAACACTTCTAAGCTGGTTGTGACTATTCCATCTGATCTATCACTCACCGAAGATGAACGATCAGTTCTCTCTAAAGGACTGTCATTTGTTCCCCAGCGTCCGTTTGTTGATGAATTTCAAGCTAGATGTGATTTGGAACAATTTTACCGTAGACTGTGTCTAAAAGCCCATTTTCACAGACAATCAACTTCTACCTCATCGGATACTGACGAGTTCTCTAAGCTTCAACCACAAGCCTCTGTTTGGACTCCTCCAGCAGGTAAATTTAGAGCTCTTGACTTTTATATTGATAAATGTCGCCATGACATTTCACAATTAGACCTTAAACGACGTGCCAAAGTGTCTACTCTTTCTACTGGTGAAAGGAAAGCTTTAATCAACCTTCGTAATAATCGCAATTATGTGATTAAACCGGCAGATAAAGGAGGTGCTACTGTGGTCTGGTGCCGTGATTTGTACATCCTAGAAGGATAGCGTCAACTCTCTGATCGTGACACTTATTTGCCACTACCTGATGATCCTACGTCGGATGAACTTAACCTGCATCTTTTTCATTTAATGGCAACTATTACCGACAAATCTCTGGCGTTTGTATGGGAACTCGCATGGGGCCTAGTTTTGCTTGCTTGTTCATGGGCTATTTAGAAGAACAAATGTTTGCTCGATATTCTGGAGCTACACCTCATCTTTTTAAAAGGTATATCGACGATGTTGTTGGCGCTACCTCGTGCTCACTTGATGAACTGAATGATTTTATTGATTATGTTTCGAACTTTCATCCAGCCATCAAGTTTACCTATGCAATCTCGTCCACACATGTTACTTTTCTCGACATTGAACTCTCTATTTCTGATAATCGCCTCTCGACCAGTGTGTTCTACAAATCTACCGATGCACATATGTTCCTGAATTATAAATCCTCTCATCCACCATCGTGTAAGGATGCTATTCCTTACTCTCAGCTCCTTCGTCTTAAACGCATTTGTACTGATCATGATGATTTTCAACGACGAGCTACTGAAATGATCTCATTTTTCAAGGATAGAGGATATCCTACTCACATAACTGATAATTCTTTAAAACGTATTGCGCACATGACTCAAGATGAAGCTCTACAACCTCGTACGCATGTTGACGCTGATCGAATACCCATCATCCTGACTTACCATCCTACGACTACCAAAATCTTCACTATTTTAAAGAATAATTTCAATATACTTTTATCAGATGAAACCACCAGTGCGATCTTCCAATCTCCTCCACTTCGTTCATATAAAAAAGATAGGAGTTTCAGAAATAGTCTCGTCAGCTCATCCCTCAGGTCTACTGATGACTGTTCAGGATCGACTGTTTCGTGCCATAGGCCTCGTTGTAATACTTGCGCACACATCTACTCCACCAATATTCTTAAAGGACCATCTGGCACTCATGCTATCAAGGACACTTTCTCATGCACTTCCATCAATCTCATATATGCTATTATCTGTATTAAATATAATCTTGTATACATCGGCGAAACCAAAAGGAGAATGGCAGATCGTTTTACTGAACATCTTAGATCCATCTGTCAACGGCAAGCTGGTTTACCTATTGTGTCGCATTTTAGTCATAACCACAGTAAAGAAGATATCAAGATCACTTGTGTTTCTCTTTGTCAAGGATCCGACACTATTAGAAAAAACTTTGAGCTAAAATTGATTTTTAAATTAGGCACTACTGCTCCCTCCGGACTTAATGTGTCTTTCAATGCTTTTAAGATTTAATTTCTCATCTTGTTTGGATTTGGATTTGGATTTTGGACCATGTGTTTGATTATAATTGCTTTTATTTGATCAGCTCTTTTTATTTTTTTATTTACTTATATACTTTTTATTTTTTTTTTCTTTTCGTTTTCTTTTTTATATTCATATAGGCATATATATTATTTCTTCTTATAGTTTATATATATATGATTTTTACCATAGTATATTTTTCCCGCGTTTTTATCTTGACTGTTTGTTTGTAGCTTGGCATACGCCCTTAAGGCTATTGTTCTTTTTTCTGAATAGCG